TATTGTATGATAGGCGACGACATTGGATCATATCCTGCATTCGCCAAACGTGACGTGTCCTCCCCAGTCTGAATCTTGGCGTGGAAAACGGATTTAAAGTACTCATTTAAACAGTTCGCTTTTGCAGTGACGTCAGTGACATCGACGCCTCCGAAAAGGAGTGCCTGTATGGTAGTGTCAGCTTTCTCGCTGCTCTTCACAAATCGGCAAAATTATTTTTTTTTATTGTGCGCAAAGTTGCTATTTGACTTATGAAAATACAGGATTTTACATTTTGCAACATGTTACTTCTACTCGGACGACAAGCTCTTTAGCCTATTTCTGTCATCTCCGACTTTTTTTTACAGTATTTCCCGAACGCTCTGTTTCGGCGTTTTATTAGTTGTAAAAGGTCAGAGTGGCCCACTTTCTGTTGACTGTTTTTACCTTTTTAATGTTTTTTTAGTGCGTATGTTTTTGTTCATAAGAAAGTGTAGTTTTTCGCTGAATATGTTCCATATAATTATTGGTTTATACACACTATCTGTTGTATATGTTTGCTATTGTCGGTTTTCTATTTGATCGGGGGCTAAACGTGTAACCTAACCTTTTTTTCTTTTTTTAGAAAAGCATGGTTGGATTGCGGTTTGGCTCCAACCGATTTCACTTTTCATGCATAAAAACTTATGAATGCTGAAAAACAAAAACGCCTACACAAACGTTACAAATATATACAAATGGTGCACGTTACGCTTTCTCTTTTCTCATGAGTTCTTTCTAGTACTTCCAGCCTTTCCTTTGCTCTTCTTTGTTGTTCGTGTTTTTATCGTTAGTGGCCCGCTCAAGTGTCTGGCGGTTTTGGCAGAGATATTTCGTAACGCGCCTTCCTCTTCCTTCTGATTCCGGGAAGAAACGTCCATTTCAAGTCCACATTTTCCCCATTTCTATTCGAGGCGTATATTGGTCGAGTGAAATCACAATATGCTCCGAAAACGTCCTGCCTTATGGGGCCTTCACGGCTCTCCATCTATTTGGAAACGATTCCGGTTAAACCGCCGGACATACTTGCAAACGAAGAACGTGTACACTCGTGGACAATGCGAACGAGGAGCGCGAATACGACGATATACCTATACAAAGTTGGTCGTCTATACTCCATTTCACTCGAAGTCTGACCGCAGCTGACATTACACCATCCGATAGCCAAGCGGCGCCGACAAGTGCGTCGCCACGGCGATGGTCATCTTTGTGCGTTTACTGTACCTCATCCAATCGCGCACAAAAAACAAAAAAAAAACAAAAAAAAAACTTGTTAGGATTGCGGCGCATTCACGTTGCGCGCGATTGGATTAGCCGGCGATATAGTAAACGCACAAAGACGGCCATCGTCGCAACCAGGGATGGGCAAAATACATGCAAATATGTATCTAAATACAAATACAAAATACTTCGTCAAAAATGTATTTAATTACAAATCTAGTTACATTTCCAAAAAAGCATTTAAGTACAAGATACAAATACAACCTAATGTATTTGGTCTCCTCCAAATACTTTTCCAAATACATTCCTCAAAATTTGCGTCAGCGACTTCAGGGCACCTGCAACGGGTTTCTGGGTATCTCATTTCAATTTTGCATCGCACACTCAGGAGTTAGTGTGCGAGGCTCTAGTAACGTAATAGAAATATAATAAAAAAAATTGTAATCAGCGTGGACGTAATAGGTGAAAAAAGTACAGTGCTTCGAGCAGCTTTTTTTGTTGATTACATTTTGGCATAGACCAACAAAGAACCGAGACGACCAAGACGCGCAGCACTAGCTAGATAATTTCTTTATTGTTGCAACTCGCACCAGTTACGAAAATCTGGACGACCCGCGCATTTAGAATGTTCCAGGCAAAAATATGAATGGAAATTAGGCTGGAAAGCATCACAAGTTGTCACAGGCACTTATTTAGCCAGTCTGCCTGTGAACGTCGATTTCGTCACTACTCTTGCCCTGGACTAGCACCGTAATTACAATGTCACTAAACGCTTGTGCTTGGTTGAGAGACACTGCATTCGGTGCAGAACGTAGTTTTCTTCCTCCTCTGGAGAGTGCCTTTAAAATAAAGCCGGAGGAGAAAAAGAAAAAAAGCCCCATGGCCGAATAAAGGATAGAGACTATATCTTACAACCACATGCATAAAAACAAGATGTATTTTCGCCCACAAAATTGTATTTAATTACAATTGTATTTGAAATACCCACGTTTTAGTATTTAAATACACACGTCAAATACATTACCCAGTTTGTAATTAAATACAGAGGCAAAATACCCAAAGTATTTGAAATACGTATTTCAAATACTTGTATTTCAAATACTGCCCATCCCTGGTCGCAACCATCGCCGTGACGATGCACTTTTTGGCGCTCCCTGATTGGCTCCATCGTATAGCGTCGGCTGCGGTCGGACGATTGATGTGAACGACGGAGTAGAGATCGAATTTCCCGTTATTGCCCTCGGCGTGCGCGACCACGCGAACCGCCGGTGAACCCCGCTTGATTTCCGGTGCCGCTTTGCACGGCGCTCGGTCGGCTCCGCGGCTGTCTTCATTGTTTACCAACGTTTGACCTTGCGGGACGGGTAAAATCTCCGTTTTGGTGGGCAACATATCCATCCCCCCTGGCAGCCTGCCGGGTCGCTTGGAAGCGTGTGTGCCGACCGGCTCCGAGACCCGCGTTCTTTTTTGGCGGCCGCCGACTGCGCTCAGGTGCACGAACATGGCAGACGCGCGAGAGGTCCGCGAGCCGTCGCCTGCGCAGCTCCGGCCTTTGTAAAACACAATTGCTCAACCATTGGCCGGTGAGAACCGCTGTCTGGGCATAGTTTTCATTTGAATGTAAAGGCAAGCGATGTGAGGCTCGCGGGAGTTGCGTTATGCACGTGTAACGTATTTGCCCCTCGGCCGAATTGTTTTCTTTCGCTTGTGCCATGATGGAGGAAATGAAAGCAAACGATCTGTAAATTATTTTCGAGGTTCGAATAATTTCCGGTCACGTTTAAAGGCGGGGCCTGAAACTTGGAATTCACCCCTCGTGAATTCCAAGTTCCAATGTGGTCAAGTGCCACCTCTAAAACGGGCGCCTCGGAGCTATGCGTTGAAACTTACAAGTCAAAGGTATGGATGAACCTCAAATGGGCCGTGCGATTTTCTCAGTCCACCTAAAGCGTGTTTCACATGCAGCGGTTTCGGCCCTAGAGCGGCGCGATTTCTGCCGTCGCGGCGCTCTGGCCAGCACCAGCGGTTGAGCGGCACGAGCGCCGCGACGGCAGAAATCACGCCGCTTAATCGCTGCATGTGAAACACGTTTGAGTGCTGTTCAGAATAAATCCCTGATATCGATACTATGTGGAACGCATATTATTTTTATGTGTGTGTGTGTGTGTGTGTGTGTGTGTGTGTGTGTGTGTGTGTGTGTGTGTGTGTGTGTACATATATATCTTTGATCACGACTCAAAATGACCCAATTGAGCCGTAAAACAATGTCTGCGCAGGGAAACAGAGGGCGATTGTTCATCAATATGAATTCTTGTGAGGGTGCGAGCCGTAGTGACATCACGTGAAACTTCTTCGCCGTGGTGCGTTCTACAGAATGTGTTCCATGCAGTTCGATTAAAGTTTGATGGCTATCTTGGGAAGCGCGCCCACGAACGCGTCGATTCGAACGTCTTCCGAGCTTTTGTTTTATTTGATTGCTATGATAAAAAGACAGTTATGTGTGTTCGTTGTTCCCACTGTAATACTTTTTAATATTCGGCGTGCAATAGTACGTATCTATAATCTGTTTCATTCGTAGTATACAACGTTGTCAAAGCTATTGGTGCGAGCGCATGGCTTCGTCTATAGACGCTGGCAAGCCTGGCGCAATGCATGGTGCCCCGTGGGCGTGAACGTCGCTTTGGAATGCTTGTAATCGCACGGGCGTACCTGCTCGAGCAGAGACATGGCGACGGCCACTGGCCCAGCTTGCAATCGTCTATGTGGTTGCGTTTGCGCTAGAACACTACAAATGACCCTCGAGATCAAACCCCATTCTTGCGCCAGCAGCTCTGACATCGTTGTGCACTAAGTATGAAACAGAGTATAGGGAGTATTCACTGGTGGCCATAGCTGTGTGCTCGACTGCTGAGCGCGTACTGACGGCGGGCTTCCACAGTCCTTTTCCGTCGTTCATTCCGCAGCTCATTCAGACAATGCGCTCTAAACATCGCCCTCAAATATGGCATCCAGTGAATACCCTCTATAGTTTCCTCACAGAAGATAACAAGAAGAAGACCGGTGGTTCACAAGCAGCGTTTTGATCACTACCGACCTTATGCGCTAGTATTGCTTCCGCTTTCCATAAAAACATGAGCGAAAAAGACTGTCTTATTGGCGGTAAACAGGTTTTAAGAAAACCGACTTAGGTGAATATTATGATGAATATACAATTATTTCTTTGTAGTGGTTTGTTTGTGGACGCATTAAAGTTAACTAAAGGATCGCGAATACTTTTAACTCATGATCAGGGCGGTTTTGAATGCGACACGGGCGTCTCTAAGCTCGGGAACAAGTTTCTGTGATAATTCAGCAATAGGTGTGGTGCGAGTACACGCGCACTCCTCTGCTCGGAAATGCCATAGAAATGCGAGGTCCCACGCTCCAGCTCTGCTGCATGACCTCGAGGCACTGGAAATCGAGTTGAACTCGGATGTTTGCAGCGTACTACTTTTGTAGCATCCGACTTCAGGGGCAATGCCCGAGTCAGATGTTCAGAGGAGGGACCTACAAGGGTTGCCTTAGCGTTGCAGGTCCTTCCTTCTGGAACTGATCTTTTCCTGTCTGAAGGAGTGGCCAACATGTTGCGGGCTTCTATTTTCCCTCGAACTCTTACCGCGACAAGCCAGCCTGGCTTTGCGAGGTGTCCGAGTGATAGATCCTCCATTCGTAGCACTCTGGCTGTCGCGACCGTTCACGATTTGGCCCGTTTTCTCCCGCAGTGGACCTGCTCAAGAAGCTAGCGGAAGTACCGGACCTCGCCAAGCTACGCGTGAGCACGGGAGGCGCGACGCCTCAGCGGAGGCGGTCCCTGTTCCAGCCGACGAGAACTCAAGAGCTCACGGCGCCGCAGCTCGACGCTGCCCAGCAGCAGCTACTCAACGCCCTCACCAAAGCCCAGCACAATCCTCCTGGCTCGCGCCAGGGAACCCCGCCCGTGACACAAGCGAACGCCAAGCCACCCGGGCCATTTCATCCACCGCAGTTCGGCCAGTCGGCGCCGCAGCACCAGCAGCCTCAGCACCAGCAGCCGCAACACCAGCAGCCACAGCCCCAGCAACGCGCGCAGGCCGAGGAAGAGGCGATGCCGCAGGTGCCCGGCGCCCCGGAGCCCCCACCGCGGACGCCGCACGGCTCACTCCATGGGCGGCCCCAGCAGAGGGAGGGCTACTCGTTCCAGCAGGCCATGAACGACCACTTCGAGCAGTACCGGCGCGAACGGCCCAGCTCCCGTCCTCCGTCCAGGCCGCCGTCGCGGACGCCTCCTCACAAGACTGAGCAGCAGCTGCCGCCGCTCACGTCTATCTACGGCGGCGGGGCCGACTGCACGCCAGACTCCGGGGTGTCGGAGTCCATGGACGGGGACTCGTCGCCCACACGGGTGCCGCAGGCGGGGCGTCGCTCCACGCTGCCCAACGTACTGCCCGACGAGGGCAGCGTTCAGCGGACGGCCAGCCTGTACGTGGCGGCGCCACGGCGTCGGGACCGGCTGGCCGCCCCGGCGCAGGACACCCTGACGCGCAAGAAGAGCCTGCCCAACATCGCCGACGCCGCCGCCGCCACGCCCGCCTTCATGTCCCGCGAGGAGGTGTCCGTGCTCAGCTCGCAGCGGAGGGACGAGCTCCGTAGGATGCAGGAGCAGGCCATCCGTTTGCGCACCAACCCGCTGCTCTACCTCTTCAATTCCGACGTCAAGGTGCGCCGCCCTTTCCTCGGTACACCCTCTGTCGCTTTCGCACCGCAGCTGCCTCTTCCGCGCATTGCGCGCATCTTTGCTGCCACAATTTAGTGCTGGCTTCAGCGGGAGAACGCTGGTTCGTCTGACGCTCTCTTATTCCTTGAGGGCATAAGAATGGGGCACCGCACAAATTCAACAAATCTTAAAGGCTTCCGAATCACCCTTTTTGTGTTCCGGTGAGTTCTGGCTCTTGACAGCCATGCTGCAGCAGTAAGAGTTTGACCTGGGATGCTAGGCTTGTGTTTGTCCCGCAGCAGTCTTATTTAGCCGAATGACTCACAAAACGTGTTTTGTTCCATTATGCGGAGCTCCCGGTCTGCCAAAGTGTATTTCTGCAACTGCCTGCCACGGACATTGAGTCCCTCGTCTGTTTGCAACCGGAAATCGTATAGACAGGGTCACATCGAGAAAATGAAACTGTTTTTTTTTTTTTTTTTTTTTTGACCCGCATAAACTACGCATTTCAGAAAGCCGAAACTCCGTGAGAATGTGGTGCTAGTGGTGGCGATAAAATGCGAATGTTTGAGCCTGTGACACTACCCAGACCGTAAGATAAAAAAAAAAAGGAATCTTTATGAGCCGATGTTCGCCTAAGCCTAATATTCTTCACATTCACATTTGAGATCGTGGGCGCGTGTAGCAATTATGTAAGTGAAAAAACTTGGCAGCAAGAAAGAGAACAATATTTTCTTCCGAATGAACTAGTTTTCACTGAAATAAATGCCCTACAAGCGCCCACAATCTCAAATATCGGTATGATGCAAATTAGGCTATAGAGTGCACGTGGGCTCATATATATATATTTTTGTTTTAATTTTTATCTTTTGATTCAGATAACGGCATGTGCCCAAACTTTCGCGTTTTATCACAACCACTAGCGTCATTTTCTCACGGAGTTTCAGCCCTCTGCGATGCGTGGTTTATTTATGCGGGCCAAAGCACTGGATGCATCATTTTCTCGATCTCACCCGGCAGATTCCAAGCTGCTCTGACCCGTGCCGTCGTCTGCTGCTTACTCCTTCCAGGATTGGTTCTCGAGGCAGCAGTTGGTGATGCTGGTGTTGTTCATCAACATCAGCCTGGCGATTATGTTCTTCAAGCTTCTCACGTAGCCGTCCCTCGAAGCCACCAGGGCACCGAACCAAGAGGCCCCCGGGCCAGCAGTGATCAGCCACAGACGCGGTTCGTCCGCCACTTCATCAGAGCAAAGCGTGTGCCATACGGCGGCCATTCCGGGCGACTGCCGTCTGGGCTGCGGACGTTCTCCTTGCCAGTCCCCTTGTCCGGGACATCGTTGGACCACTCCGATGCATGGGCGTCGCCTTGTCCCTGAGGCGGGAATCTGCTAGGGCTCTGTTGTACGGAGTGGTTGACGACGGCGACGATTGTCCGTGTCGCTAGCTGGTTGATGATACACGCAGACACACAATCACACACGCCGACACACACTCGCTCTCTGTCTATCGCGGTTCAACCGCCTGTCCCCCACGCTCTCTTCCTTCGAAAAGTGGACCTCGCGTGTCAGTGGATCGACGGAGGGGACTTGCCACGAGGATGTCTTTAGGTGGTGCATGTCTTGTATTTGTTGTCCTAAAATTTCATGAGCTAGCCTTTTTGAGGTACAAGTTTGAAACGAAAAAGTGATTTGCTTCGTGATTTGTGATTAGGAAGCTCAGCAACGCGTGATAGCACCGTGACTAATATTAGTACCACCGGACTAACGAGATGATAGAGATATTGCATCGCCTTATTTCCGCAAGCTGAACTTCCTTCCTGAGCGTAGAAGAACTAGATCTGTCTTACCCAGAATTCCTGGTCACGTTCCTATGCCCCCTTCATGAACGAGTTTTGCCTTTTCGTTTCAAATGTTGTATTTCTAAAAGTTACTCACGAAATTTTACTGTGATAAATGCGCCATGTAAAGAGACCCTTCTCGGCTGGCTCGACTTCGCTCCGTCAAGGCGGTAATATTATACGATCTATTTTGTGAAAAAATATCTCTTGTGGATGCACGCGGTAGCTTGTTCTCACTTTTAGGCGCCTCTGCTTTCTGCTCAATTTTTCGAGGACTTTCAACCAGTGCATCCAGTAGGCAAAACTGGGACGCTCACGTCGTATCAGAAGTTTGAATTCTTTGGGGGTACGCTTGAACTATTTGAGCTGATTTCTTCTGATCATGATTATCTTGCGCTCATCATCAGGCAATTAGAGTCGTTACCGAGCCAGCGCTTCAATCGGGACTCAAAGGTTAAACAAAATGTGGTGAAGTTTATTATATGTTATTTTTCCGTATCTATTCTTGGCAACGACCTATCGGAGTTGCGCGGGAAGTAAATGCTGCTGCGCCCACTCTATGTTCACTTGCAAAAAAAAAAAAAAAAATAGTAAAACGAAAATATATACTTTGCCAGAATAAATAAACGTTTCTTTATCCGAGCATGTCCCTCGCACAACGCTTCCGGACCGGACTATGCGATGCGGATGTTCTATAGGATTGAACTTTTTCCACGTATTTTCACGCAGCTCTCTCTCTCTCTCTCTCTCTCTCCGTGCACCTTTTATCGACCCTGAACGTCGACAGTGCATCGGATTTACTCACAGGACTTCCGGCGACCACGTGTCCCACACACGGTGGTTAGTGTAGAAATGACGCAGGACAGTGCTCTATCTTCTACAAACGAGCGAAACGAGGAACGTGCCCGTTTTGTTTTTGTGCGTCTGCGATTCGACGCAGGCTGTTGACGTACTCAGCTTCCGCACGCGAACCTGTATTCCATCATCATTCGTCAAGGCTAACACCCTCCCTATTTTCCTGCTGTGAATCGTATACACCCACTTTCCCTACAGGTGCGCTCTTCCGAAAGAGCCAGAGAATGAGAAAAGCTTTTGCCGCGCGAAAATTTTTGTTGTTGTTGTTGTTGACTAATGTACTTCTAACGATCATGTCGTAATGGGAGACAAGCGGGACACACACCCTACGTAAGAGTCCACGAGCACACGCGAGGTGGTGATGTGACCCGAGTGATAAGCATTTTCAGCGCGACCGTGTTGACGCGACTGCGAGAGAAAGGTGATTTTCACGGGGATGTATGGTTCTTCTATAGTCGTTTCTCCTCCGTCGCTCGCTTAGCATTTGTATAGCTCACAGAACACACTGTCACGAACGCTGTAACATTATCGCAGCTGATCACCCGACACACTGTGAGATGAAATTCCGTGATAGCTCTAGCACGTTATGGTAGGGAGCACAGGTGCTGGAAAATGAGAAGAGTTCCATCAACCAAAAAATAAAGGAAGTCACTCGTTTAATATCCCTATGATAATTCGCAGGAATGTGCTCTTAACGAGGTACGTTAACCAGGTGCCCTCGGATGCGTTTCTACGCTCGGTTTCACGGTAAGTGCGATCGAAGCTGGAGCTACAAACGCGAGCATAGTGATTTGAAGAACGCTTGACGCCACGGACGTATTTCTACACCTGCAGCACGCTGGGGCTGGCTCTTGTTGCTTCAACTTCGCTCGCACTTAAGACTGGTTCTGTCTTTTGCGATGACTGCGTTCACCTGAACGGAAATGACATCAGCGACAGAGTGATCTGGATAAGCATGGCATTGGATGTCGCGTGGCAAAGAACTCAATATTTGAAGGACGAACACCACGTGTTGAATAGAAAGTGGGCACGCTTGTACGCATTTTTGTGCTTTTAAACACGTGGCTTTCCTCATTACATTGGTCGCGCTGTGTTCGGCAAACAGTTGTTCCGGTGACTCTTCGTCACCGCAAGCGACGCAAGTGTCTGAACCGAGTTTGACGGCGAAGCGGAGTGTACAAGCATCTTTGCTTCTCCGGTCACTTGTACAATGTTGTGCTCTTTTGTTTGTTTATGTCTACTGGATGCGAGAGCAAACACTCGCGCTAAACTAAATCTCCGCAATTTTTGACGTTTTTGGTATTCGGAAAGTTGCTGTGTAAAACGCTGATTGAAAAGGACGTACAGCTTTGGGAAAGAAGTCCGCAGAGGCTCGCGTATGGTAATTGATGACGAATTTTCCTCGGGCAGACTCTACCCTAAAGCCTGCAGCTCACGAAAAAAACAACAACATATATATGTATAAATAAGCCCCAACTGGACATAAATATACCGTTAGTCCTAAATGGCCTCCCTCGCGCCTGCATGACGCGGAGGACTACGTTGCTCGTCAGACATGACGCCTTCGTGTGGCGACATATCCGCCGTGTCTGGCAGACGTCTCCAAGGAGGAGCCACTTTCTTACCTCGCGCTACGAAAAACTCTCAGTGTTCGGTTTCTTTCCTAGTTTTATCTGTGGTCTCCGACAAGCCAACCGCTCGAGTTTGCTGGCGCTGCGGTGCTCCTATTGCCAAGAGAACATGGTTGTGTTGACGCGGGACGAGCGGGCGCGTTTTTGCTGTTATTCCGTCGCGGTTGTTCGGCTGCGTAATATAACTTGTTGGGGAAATCAAGCTGCTTGGAAACGCTGCAGTTCCCAGTAGCGAGGATGTGCAAAGCGGCTCTCGTTAACAGCGTTTACGCAGCACCAATAGTGCCTCGAGTTGTAGTAGCGACGCTGTAGCCTTTGCCTGATTTCTGAGTCTACTCGAATTTTGATTCGGCGTTTTCCCGCTTTCCCACTCTCTCTCTTTCCTATTTCTCTTGAAAGCACATGGCTCAGTGATGTAAGTCCCTCCAAGTCAAAACAGTTCTCAAATTTCCGGTTTATGCTGCTTCTACTTGACCAGTGCCGTTTCTGTTGCGTTTGTGCGCCTCCCCTTGCCCCTACGTCCACCTCTGTGTCCCCTGAGTCGGTGGGATGCTTGGGTATGTCGAGTGATTTTTACCCCTGACGCGTGTGCGTGTCTGCTACACAGATGACACCGTTTGTATTTTTCACCAGTGTACGTGCATATTCAGTTGTGGCTTTCCCGTGCTCAGTTTGCGTGTGCGTCTGTGCGTGGCAAATCATTGTTTCGGGCATCTGTCTGAATCCGTGATACGGAATGTCTCCAGTGTGCCTCACCAGTCATGAACGAACAGTTTCTTTTGAGCGGAATTTGCACCTGCCTGGTTTGCTTCCCACTCTTTTGGTGTGCACTCTGTTGGCGTGCTGAGGCTCCGACCGCTGTTTCACCGGACAAATACAATGTCCACGTCCTTCTTGTTGGGCATTGTGCACCGTCATGAGATGCTCTCTGCGAAAAACTCCTAGTCCCGTTTACATTAAACCGTCCTATTCACTCGGAGGAGCACGCAAGATCTTACCTTAATTTCTAGTCAACCAGCTATTTTTTGTTTGTTGTTGTTCTTGCATTCATTACAGTTTTCAAGGAGGCAAATAAACATGTGTTGAGATTTATTATATTTACGGCTGCCGTTGAACGACGTGCCAGAAATAAGTGAAGTTCCTATTGATCTGTCTTTTTTATTATTATTATTTTACGCGTACTTTACTGTTCATTGGTTATCACGAGAACACTTTTGAAATGAATAACAGAAAGTGACACGATTCGCAACAACTGAAGCGCATTCGCTAGCCATCAGAATTTTAGTCTGGACATTACAGCCAATCTTTTATTTAAGAAACCTAATACAGCTTGAGTTTCGTTTTCGCTATATTTCGTTTCAGCAAGACCCTGCAAACGCGACGCCATTGCCGACGCTATTGCCTCTCTCGGCCAATAGCGTCGAAGCGAGGTGAGTGATAGCACTTCGCTGGAGTGGTGTCTGTCACCGCTTTGTCAAATGTCTCACTGGGATATCCTTCTTAGTTCGCTGGAGCCGTAGCTACTGCCGTTTTCGAAATTGTGCTAAAGCGAGGTATAGGATAAGATCGAAACGTGCAGATGCGTAGCGTTCCGGTCTTTCCGGCTGTTAACAATTTGACGACAAAAGCAAACTCTAGGCGCGTATTTGAATCACCGTAACAGAGAGTATTCTGCTTTGTTCACGAGTTTAAGGTTGCCAACGGCTTCTAATCAAATGTCCAAATACTTGCCGCGTTGCACCGGAAGTCACTTTAGGGCAAGGACTTAGAATACTGGGGTCGCGCGCAGCTTTCTGGAGATCCCTATTCTAGCATTTCAACCCGTCGTCACTTCATGTATCTCTGTTTATATTTTAGCCCTCCTTAACTGACGAAGATTTTGCAACTACGATCCAGCATCCCTCTGGCGTTCATTCACTGACCACGATAGAGAACTCGGATGTCGTAGTAGCGTGCCGAACTTAGCTCCAGTCATTTATGTCCGGATGCCATATCCTCCGAGTTTAGAATCGGCCTAAACTCCCGTCCGTCCATTCACCAGTCAAAGGCACGTGTTTGGCCATAGCATTTAAGCATTCGTGGGAGAACCGCCAGGAAACGCCCCAAATCTCTCACGTCAGTCCCCGGGACGCTCATCAGTCGGTCTTCATGGGCGCACGCACGGTACGTTGAGGTCTGTACCACCGCGCCGGTCCTATTGCGACATCACGTTCACGTGAACGCGGGTACTGCCCGCTCGGAAATGCCAAATAGGCGAACACTGTTGGTTATGTGACGAGTCGCATTGAGGTGCCAGTCATTTTGGGTCGTGTCAGCTACAAAAAGAAAGAAAAAAACTCCGCTTCACAGTTGTGTTCCAATGTAGTGTTCTTCCGCTATGGTTTTCTCTCGTTCTTTATACTTACACCGGCGCCTGCACGCTTCTTGCGGTAGTGCCCCATTGAATGTCTCCTTTTCACATTGCCCACTGTTCTTTACTTCTGTGCACGCTTTTTGTCTCTGATGCACAACCTTTGCTACAGCGAGTACGACATCTTTTTTCTCTCTGCTGACAGGAAACGAAAAGGGACCTGAAAGCGGAAACAATGCATCATATGTTACCTTTAAAGCTAACGTGGTAACCTCTATGTCTGGGCTTTATGGAAGTGACCCACAATGAAAGTTGAATGTTGACCCCGTCCCCTGCCGATGATGTCCTTGCGTAAAATCAGATTTTTTTTTTTTCTCTTTTTTTTTCGAGACATGGGAAAGGCACAAGTTACCAATAAGTACATTGCTTCAGATAGCGCCGTCGTGAGATCCGTCTTAGGACGGTTAACGCGTGCCGGTTCGTCCGCGCTTTAGCCCTTTTGTCTTTTTCCTGCCATTCTTCCTCGCTGAAGTTTTTTGTAATGACTTACTCGAGCACTCCTGTTCCTTGTCTTGGAGATAGAGCGATGTGACGTCGACACACTCAAATAAATTCTTTTCTAGTGATGTCGCACTCGTTTTTCCTTCTCTCCCTCTGTCGCAGTTGCAAGTTCCTTCTAATCATTGACAGGTAACCAACGGAAGTTTACGTCGTGCCCGTTCAATTCGGTTGTGATTCGACTGCGTGTGAGCTCCAATCCGGACTCGCCCGGTAAAAGCTGTAGGCCATGCAGCTAATGTGCGACGGACAACGAGACGAGGTTCGCCCACCGGCTTTACTATGGAACAACTTTCTGTGGCATTTCAGAAGAAATGGAGAGTGCGCGCACAGAGGTGTGATCGACGCTCAAGGTGCGCAAGCGCCCGTGCCCCCATAGATTTGACTATATAGAATCGCTGGCTTTCACTATATAGCCACAAAACGTTGTCCTCGGGTATTACCAACTCCAGCCCGCCGCTCGCCCTCTCGCGGACGAAGGGAGAACTAGAGGACCGGGGACGGCAGCGGCGGTGGCGGCGCGGAGCCGGTGGCACTGTAGCATTGACTGTCGGCCTTGGCGCCTTGGTGTTGCTATTACCGTATGGTTCTGGTCGGCGAGTACGTGCGTGAAGCAGTTTTAACGAAAAAGTGAGTGCGTTAAATTATGAGTTCTTGTGTTCCGCCTCGCAACAGCGTTGCACGAAGGGACCGAGATGTCTCATTTCTTTAGGGACATATACCCCATACACAGCGGATTTCTGTTCTTGTGGGCACCAGCTCAATCTGTGTTTAACGTGACGGCAAACGCTCCCACTAGTATTGTAGAGTTCTAGCATATGGTCTATGGAAAGTTTATTGTGTGCTTTAAGTAGGAGAAACCTGATCGCGCAACGGTATGTCGAGCCATAGCCTCCTCTATACTGACAAAGCCTGGCAGATCGCCACGAGACGCGGCCGCCGAAAGGGAAAAGGTAGAGCGGCAGGCAAGAGTCATGTAACGGGCGCCCCGCTGTGGCGAGACGCAGAAACACACCTGTCCCGAGCGATGGAATATCCGCTCGTTCTTCTCGCTTTGCTCGGGCTATCGTTTCTTTTCTCGTCGGGTTTGAAAACCATGTTTCTAGTCCTCGCCGCTGCAAAAGCTGTGCCCTGAATACCAGACTCCCCGAGAAATGCTCTGTGATACTAGATCCTCGCGCTTCAAATCTGCGACCGGGCACTCTATGGCTCCGTCATCGAACTGCCAGGCGTTGTGAGTAGAGGAGGCTATGGTCGAGCAATAGACATCGGGAAGGGGTTCGCGTTTTAAGGCCGTTACAAGAAACACGACCATTTCCTTCAAGCACTTTCAAAAGACAGTATACGCCTACTTGCTTTCAGGTAATTACAAAAACAAACAAATAAATGCTCGAAGAATTTTTAGGGCATCTGTGTTAGCCAGCCTTTCGTGACGAGAGCTTAGAAAGGCAGTTTTAGCGAGGGGGGTCACAACGTTGCATGCCAATAACACGGTACACAAACGTACCGTATATTAAAATATTTATTCTTGACAGACCAATAAATAAAACCCCTAAACACGCCGATGACGTTAATAGGTAGTTTTAGCATAGCGTTACCACAGGCACCGTCAGCACGGCAACGCTCCTGGCGCTCGGTAAAATCATGCCTTTAAGGCGCAACGCGAGCTTAATAATTATGAAGATGTTCTTGTCGTCTCAGTGTCGTATTGCAACGATGGAAGTCATTTCTGAAGTGTTACACTCCACTTTGCTTCGGTAGCAGGCGACACGATAGATTTGCTGGCCTCTGTTGCAGCGGGCGTCTTCATTGATTTGCGTCGGTAAACGAGCGACAAAAACAAGTGCATCGCCGTGGCCGTAGAGACCTCCGCAATGTACGTTTTTTTCGGTGAAGAATCCAGCTTAGTTCAGAGGGGTGAAAATGCCATAAAATCAAACCACGTCATGCAGATCAGTTATGACGACGACCTGAAGTGCATTATCGGCGTAGTGCTGACCAGCATGAGAAACAAATCTTACGACGTCGAGGTAAGTCGTTTATTATTATTATTATTGAGGCTTGTACTAAATACTAAGTTAAAAAGCTAGTCCGAACAGCATACGAAGAGCACAATGAAAAAGCGTCACCAAAGGTGATGCTTTTTCATTGTGTTTCAAAAGCATAAACAAGATAACCGGACAGCGCATGGACACAGGCATACTTCTCAATGCTGTTCTACCATATAGCAGCATACGACTACTGCAAGTTTAAGCTGGATTTTACTCTGACTACTTCTTGCATGCAACTACCTTATCAACATTATAGTAATAATATATAAATATAGCGGCCATATTTTAAGACATTATGAGCGAACAGAATATGGGTTTTACGTGCTCTCGGTTGGTTTGGCCCTTTTTTTACATCAAGGCAACTGTCCGCCAGTGCCACATGTACTCACCTTACGTTTTGTATCCAGTTCTTTCGCGCTTTGGGGTCTGGCGGAAATCTGAAGAAACTACAAGAATCCTTCTCCGCGCGATGATTACAACCAGGTACCATGAACCCTCCCATAGTACGAGTCCGCGAACAAAATTTGGAATCTTAACCGATCGCCTGAAGTGCTTTTCTCACGGGTGCAGTGCGATCGTTTAGCAGACGATCATCTCTGTCGACGCCCAGACTTTCGATAAACCATACTTTGCATCGCACCCCACTATGAATTCTTATAGGTGTCTGAAACTCATTATATTTCAAACAAATGCAATATCAGAATATCGTATTTATTCACACGATTCAAACGACGGCGTCGGCTTGGCCTGCCGGCGTGTGGCAGACGGCATACTTCTTGCATTCGTCGTCTGCTGCAGGCATCTTGAGGACCGGAAGTTGCAGTCGTTAGTATTTCAGAAACAAGCGATTACCGGCACACTTCTGTTGAAACATATTTGACATAGAAGCTTTCTATATCTGACATTTTTAGAAGTTTAAATCCTACTCCTGATTTTTGAACGGTCGGGTTTTCGTAGCGAAACCTAGCCACATGTATTTGTCCATAACAACGACCCTAGCAACGGTTTGTTTGGACCCATGACGTCACACTTACGGAGTCAATTGCAGAAATCATTTTCACAATCAGATTGTGGCATGTCGGAATGGTTCGATTATACCTTGTTTCACAACCACCTCGATGGCTTTTAACTGGCAAGGATGTTAAAACAAAACACAAAACATTGAAATGTCTCAGTGGCTCTGAATAAACGCTCTAGTCTACGAATCTCTATTTGGCGGGTTCGAATACCGACCGAGGTGCCCGCAATCTGATGGAAGCTAATCTAAGATTTCGGTTGCATGTCAAAAGATCTCGAGTTGGTCAAAATGAGCCCGCGATTTTTTTTTTTTTTTCGCTGGGCGCGCCAGATGATTTTTGTTGGTTTGGCTTGTAAAACTCTAAGGTCTGAATATTTGCTTCGCTTTACCTTAGTTCGAAGCGCAGCCAACGCTACAGGCTGATGAAGCCACTGAAGCAGCGTCAAGAGCGCGAGCTCAGGCAGTACGTTCTCTTTTTGTGTCTGTGCGATCGGACCGGTGGCAATCAGTTCGTCGAACGACGTTTCATGGACAAATCGTTTCGTCGACACTGCGATGTTTCATCGACAGATCGTTTCGTGGAAACGAGCACCCGCTCGTTTCATCGACAGATGCTGCGACGTTTCGTCGACAGCTCGCTCTGCCAGCTCCTGGCACCGCCAGCACCGCCAGCTGCGCCTCCTCGCGACCTCTGCGCCTGCGCGGCGCGCGGCCTTGTGTTGGATGGATGGATGGATGAAAGATGGCCCAGAGCCGTATATCTAGAGAGTTTGGTCAATGGGAGGCGCGGGCAGAGCCAGGGCGTGCATCAGACTCGGAAAGAGGGCTTGGCATGCTCTCTTGACCAACCAGAAGCCGAAAAGAATCTTCTAGCGGTGGTAGCGAGAAACAGTTCTGATCAAAGGTACATGTCCGTTTATGGTTTTAATAAGCGCGTAAGAGTGAAGTGTAGTAACTCTTTGTGGTTTAAAATAGGGCGCACGTGTTGTTTTGATCATGATCATGCAGAAAGATGCAAGAAACGAATGCGCCGCTCAGCTCCGTTTTGCTCGGAAGAGTGTGACCGCTCGGACGGCGGATTCCCGGCCCTCGGCGCTTGGCGTACGGATTATGTCGATCGTTCCGCTAGTCGCACTCCTCCACCACCATTTTGGATGAGCGTGATTGAAACATCACGTGTACCATATTTTCAGTCATCGAGAGTTACTCTAATGCAGTTATCAGGTTTGTTTCTCGTGACCACCGCCGGGGTATTGTTTCCGGCTTCTGGTTGGTCACATTCGAATTTCTGCAGACGCCCTGGAACACGCCCAGCCCGCTTTCAGCCAATGGTGCCTCCTCATTTGTATCCTATACTTCCCAACGAATGGCCAAACTCTCTACATATACGGCTCTGAGATGGCCGACTGAGCCAAGTATGGCGAACCAGTGCTCAGCCATCTTGCCTCACCAACTTAAACTATCGCACATTTTTTTTAATTTTTTTTTGGCGTGGGGGGGGGGGGGGGGGGGGGGTTTGCCGATTGCACTGATTTCGGAACTTACGATTTGAATGGTTTCGCTCGTGTCTTTGCCCGAACCTTTGGGGAAGCGTAGTCAAAGCCGGGAAGTTTTGTTATCGACCAGTGTCCTTCCTCAAATTAGATTTTTAAAACATTCAACAATATGCGCTGCTCTTGAGGGCTACGCTTTCGGCAGCATACGTGATGTACGTCATCGAATGCAACCCTTCGCGAGCTGGCCGCTGGCACTCCGACTATTTTGAAAAAGTGGCTGGGTCATTTCCAGAGCAAGCGTATCTTTCTGCGCGTCGCATCTTTTGGCAGAACACTCAAGAGCCACCTGAACATCGCATAGATAGTCCACATGTCAAAACACTGAAGCTCTTATAAAGAATATTTGAAAGAATAAACGAGGTCTGTTTGCGGTGCGCACAGCCTTCCTACCGTTGGAAATGGTATAAAATCGGTTTTCAAGCTAATTGGCATCTGGTCTTAGC